AAAGCTCTTTATGGACTCAAACAAGCCCCAAGAGCATGGTATGACACTCTCTCGGATTACTTAGTGAATAATGGATTCACTAAGGGCAAAGTAGACAAGACTTTATTCAAAATTGAAGAAGGTCCCCACATGTTGCTTGTTCAAATCTATGTTGATGACATAATCTTTGGAAGTTCAAATCAAGCATTGTGTGAGAAATTTTCAACTCTCATGCAAAGCAAGTTTGAAATGAGCATGATGGGAGAGTTGAATTATTTTCTGGGACTACAAGTGAAGCAGACTCCTCAAGGTATCTTCATCAACCAAGCCAAATATACAAGAGATCTCATGAAAAAGTTCAAGGTCGAAAACAAGTCAACTGTGAAAATACCCATGAATACATCCCAAGGTCTAAGTCAGGATGATGATGGCAAAGATGTTGATCCCACACTTTACAGAGGTCTGATTGGTTCCTTGTTATATCTCACCACTAGTCGGCCAGATATTTCCTACTCAGTTGGTGTGTGCGCAAGGTTTCAATCTAAGCCTAAGGAAAGCCATCTTCTAGCTGCCAAGAAAATTCTGAGGTATCTAAAAGGCAATCCTAACTCTGGATTATGGTACCCAACAAATGGAGGTTTTGAACTCTATGGTTATTCGGACTCTGACTTTGCCGGATGCAAAATTGATAGAAAAAGCACCTCAGGAACTTGTCAATTAATTGGTGGAAGACTTGTTTCATGGTTCAGCAAGAAACAAAGCTCAATTGCTACAAGCACTGCCGAAGCTGAATATATAGCTGCAGGCAGCTGCTGTGCTCAAGTTCTTTGGATGAAACAACAATTAAAGGATTATGGAGAAGAAACAAAGGAGATTAGCATACTGTGTGACAACACAAGTGCTATAGCTATTACTCATAATCCTGTGTTTCACTCAAGAACCAAGCATATTGAGATCAGGCACCACTTTATCAGAGAGCATGTTGAGAAGAAAACCATCAAGCTTGAGTACATCCCCACCGAAAAGCAGCTGGCTGACATCTTCACCAAACCATTGAATGAAGCTAGATTCAACCAACTAAGGCAAGAGCTTGGTATGTTAGATGATCTAGATCAAGTAAGGGAATAACCCTGCATCTATTCAGGGGGAACCTAATTCCATAATCAAGGGGGAATTCCTAGCCATCTGCTGAGGGGGAACTAACAGGGGTAGCCATCTCAGGCTACTCACAATCCAAAAGGAATGAAGCATCAAGGTCCAAGAAGGTCTATCTCAGACTTTCAAAAGAACGAGGGAATCAAAATTCAAGAAGTAGGCTCAGCAAGTGACTACTCAAGACAGCAGTAGGGTCAGCAGGCAACTGGGTACCAGCCTACTCCTACTTGTGTAAAGAGAAGATGTGTATAACACGACAAATAAGCATGGAATAAGGAAGGAAACATGGAGATGAAGACACTAGCTCAAAAATTCAGGCAGGTACCTACCAGCAGATGTCTCCCTGCTAAGCAGATTATTGCCTCAGGTCAGCAGTTGGCTTAATTATTGACAAAGATACTTGGAATCTCAACTCATAAAGAAAACCATCTTGATCTCCTTGTATCAAGGATTCTAAAAGAAGTCATTCTTTCAGAAGACCATCAATACTACCAAGCCCTCTGCTACCAGTGTGAACACAATCAATACTAGATGAAACCAGCCGTCTTCTCCAACGGCTATATCTCAACGGCTAGTTCCCGATAGCTTATAAATACTTCTTCCGTACATTCCACTTCACACTTTTTACTTTACAACCTCTTTCTACCTATTTCTAAGCTCTCAAATTCTCTCAAAAAGCTCTCTTACACACAATCTCACTACTTCCAAAATCAAACATCTCATCAACCCTCAAATGGCCTCTTTCACCAAAATCTCTAAGTCCATTTTCACTGGCTCAATCCTAAACACTTCCAAAGCACTTGAAAGAGCAAACAACAATGATCTCATGAGAGAACTGCTAAGGAAGCTTGACACAACAGGGCTATTGAAAATGGCAACCTACACATACTCCCACTTCTATCCTGAAGTGGTAGCAGAGTTCTACATCAACTCAACCCCAGAAACATTGAAATCTGTAGTTATGGGGGTTGAAGTGGAAATTCAAGAAAAAGACATCAAGGAGTTACTCTCTCTTCCTGGTGACGAAGCCCCAGAAGTGGAGAACATCCTCTTGAACGAGGCAGAATTCAAAGAAGCTGTCTTCCTACCAAAAGCTCAAAACCTCAATACTCTCAAGATAAAGAAAAAGCTAATGGTTCAAGAATATGATATACTACTTGACATCCTCTACAAATGCATTGACACAAGAACCACAGCACTTGATGAGATCAATGCACTGAGAGCAAAGCCACTGGCCGCTATCATTTCAGGATCCCCATACAATTGGACCAGGTACGTTTACCAAGAACTCAGAAGATATGTCACAAAATCACACACAGGAAGAAAGGAGGATGGTACATTACCACTACTGGGCTACGGATTCCTCATCGGAGAACTACTCAAAAAGAAGGGCGTACTGGGGACAAGAAAAGAGGCAACTACTTGGAGGAAATTCCTATTCCAAACTTCCAAGGTAGGGGCTCCAGAAATTCCAAAGAATGATGATTCCTTCCTCTCGAACGACCTCCTCTTGGTATCCTTCAAAGTTGATACCAAGACCGCCAAAAGACTACGTTCTGGGTGTCAAGAATCACAGTCAAAAAGGCCAAGGACAGCAACCAGGAATCTACACAGAGAAATGGAAGAAGCAGCATCATCTAAGCATGCAGCAGAAGGCTCTCCTCTCACCATAATTCAAGAGGATGCAGAGTCCTCTTCCAACTCGTCCAATGCTAGCAACAGCTCTGCCATTCCTCTCTCCATTCTTCATCCAACAATACAACAGCAAGAAGACCAACCTGCTCAGATAGAAGAGCAGAGGACTCAACAGGAAGAGCAGGTGACTTCTCCACCTTCACCAACAAATCACTCTCCTACTCCTCTGCAACAATTAGAGGCTGAATGGGCAAGAGTCAAGGCTTGGAGGGAATGGAAACTCTCCAAAATTCTTCACCAAGCCAGGACCCTAACAAAGTTCATTAGTGAAGAGTACTTTGCTCTCACCTGGCTTGGAACTGAAGACATAGCCAAAGCCACAAATCTTCACCAGATGAATCTGGTCTATCTCACAAAGAAGAGGCAGCTAACTAATGAATCACCAGAAGAGCACTCCGAGGATAAGAATGATGATGGTAATTCTGATGATGATGATGACAATCACTCTGGTCCAAATAAACCTCCACAGAACAGAGGTAAGCAAATCATCTCCTCTTCTAGTGATAGAGAACTTCAAATGGCTTTGGAAAAATCTAAATTTGAGACTAGAGGAGGTGGAGAAACCTCCAAAGCAATGGAGGAAGTAGCTCATCAGCCCACTGCTGATCAAGAGCAGACGTCTAGTTCACACTCTCAAGAATCTACTCAAAACATAGAGCAGCACTCTCACACATTCATTCTTGAACCTGAGGACAATGAAGAGGACACTGCTACCCTGGCCGATGTCTTCATCAAAGAAAGAAGGGCTACCACACAGTTCATCAGCCGCGCAGAGGTCAGACTGCACAAGAGACTCATCAAAATGAAGAAGCAACTAGAAGAAAGGCTAGATATCAGATTTGGAGAAGTCCACAGCCACATCAGAAGAGATTCAATGATCCAACAAGTGTTCAATGCTGAGCAGAGAGCTCTACTCCAAACCAAAAACTCTCAGCACTCTGCCTTGACCAATGAAATAAAGCAGGAGATTGCTGCACTAAAAGCCAAGAATGAGGACCTCGAAAGACAAATGCTAGCACTTCAAAAGCAGCAACAAGCTCAGCCTACTGCAGCAGGTACCTCTGAGCAGCTGCCTTCTCTCCCAACCTTACCTCCTCATCTTCAGCAGACTTTCCAAATGGTGAAGGAGCATGAAGAATACCTCCTGAAACTAAGAAATGAGGAGTTCCCTGCCATGTTCAAGCTCTCTCAGAAATTCCTTATGGACCAGCAGGCTCATGCTAGAGCTTATGAACAGCTCACTAAAGACATCGCTCACAACTTTCAAGTTCTTCAAAAGGCTACTCAGGACACCTTTTGGAAGCAAGGGTCTGACTTTCAGAAACTAGGTCAGAGCCTAGTAGCTACACAGGACAAGCTTCAAAGATTAGAGAATGAGGTCAAAGATGAGGTCAAAACAGATCTTTTGGACGTCAATAATCATATCAAGGCCCTGTCCATCGAAGTATATGGTCTGGATCCATCAAGAAGGCAAATTGAAGATCCTGACTCTGACCCAGAAATAGAAGCACTCTTCAAAGAGAGTGAGACCTCTGCTGATGATGCCAAAAAGGGGGAAAGGACAACTCAAGCAGGTCCTTCCTCCTCCAGATCAGCAGCAGCAAAGAAAGCAGCTGCAACAAGAAGGAAAAACAAACTCTACAAAGAAGAAGCTGAGATAAGAAGAAGAAAGGAAGAAGAAGCCAAAGCCAAGAAAGATGCTGCTAAGAAGAAACAAGGATAGATCAGTCCTCAAGTCCGAAAGTGACTAAAAACTATTGTACTTTAGACTATAGACCAATGTACAATACTCTCAATACGAATCAATAAAAACAGTTGTTTCTTGTGTTGTATAGTTTTGGCATCATCAAAAAGGGGGAAATTGTTAGTCTCCAATTTTGATAGATTTTGATGATGCCACTATACTAAACAAATTTACATTGAGTCTTATTTTCAGAAGTAACATTTTAATTTAAATCATAAGTGACAAAAATAAATGTACAATCTTTAAGATTAATGATATATTACCGGATACATAAAAATGCAATAAGGTATCTTTTTACCTTTATAGGATATTTAAATCCTACCGGCATATATCATTTTACTTAAAGATTAAATATAGGTCACATTTGAGATGCTCGAATACACTAAATATTGATTGGAAGACAAAAATTAAATACACGGTCCTACAGCATGGGAGGACCTCTTGGAGTGAAGCTGCAGCGGCTGAAGACACACCCATACCGCAGCCCAATCATTCAAGACAGAAAACAAAAATATTCAAAGCTCCTGCACAAGAAGACAAATGTACAATTCGTCCTTGCCAGACCCTCAACGCACAAGATTAATCCATCTCAACCAACGGATGAGATTGATCAACCATGAAGGCCTATAAATATAGGTAGAAGCATGAGTTCAAAATAAGCTTGAGCATCCTAAGTAGAGAAATACTTTCATCAAAGCATATACGAGCTATCTAGCAAAAGAGAAAGTGCAAACTCAACTTTACTCTCTGCTTAGCCTCATGCTTCACTAAGCTCCTAGATTAGATCAACACTTTCACATTTTTAGAGCTTAGTTCATAGTTGGAGGTTAGAACTTTCTTGTAAACATTACACAAGTGGTTGTAAACACTTAGGAGAACAGTTGTTCGGATCCTAAAGTGTGGGTAGATAGATAGAGTACCTTTTGATCCCCACTGGATCGATTGAGAAAAGTCTAAGGACTGAGTAACTTTGAGTGGTGTTATACTCATTGTGAAAAACCTTCAATCTAGGCCTAAGTGTTGTAAAGGCTAGATTGGCACTAAGTGTATTGGGCTGAATACTTTAGTGAAATCCATCTGAAAGAGGGTGGGACTGGATGTAGGAGGATTACACCACCTCTGAACCAGGATACATCGTGTGTTGATTCTCCTTTACTCACCACAGCACACACCCAATACTTCTCACTAAAGGGATCGTAGTTTGCCAGCAGCATCCTAAGCAGTCGTCTTAATTGACTCTACTGCTTATCCTACTGCTTAATAACTCACTTTTCCTTGAGACTTCTGTTTCCCACAAGCTTTAAATATCACTACTAAAAGGTGTGATTGGTCAGTCCTCAAAGATACTTCTTTATAAGCAGCAGACGGCTTAGCAGTTTCCTGGGATTACCCAACTGCTCAGACCACTGCTCAGGCAAAACTCTTTACTACCTTCAGCTCAACATATATTCAGAAAGCCCTCATCATTCTCTGCAAGGCCATATTATCATCTTTCTCAAACTTCTATTTTCAACTGGCAGTTGCCTCAGCAGTTCCTTGCCATCTAGCTAACTGCCAAGCCAACTGCTCACAGTTTGAAGTCCAAACATCATTGAAGGTAGAAAGTTGTCACACACTCATTAGAAAAAGGGTAAAGACTTCCGCTGTGCATCTATTAATCTCTCAAAAGATTATAGATCAATTCATCTAGAGGTAAAACTTGAAAAAGGTGAAAAAGATTTAAAAGTCTATTCACCCCCCCCCCCCCCTCTAGACTTTTACCCTATCCAGGACCATCAAAATGTGCAACCCAATTACATTCACGTAGAGCATGTTCGAACCTAACCCCTTTCCTAATTGCTTTCTGTATTGTTTCCAAAAGAGAAGCCTTCCATCGGCCACCTCCTACCTGAAGCAACAAAGGAATAACAGATTCTGCCTCGTTTGATAAAGGGAATAAGTACCTGAGGGGGTAGTATGTTCTGAAACCCTCTGGGGTGATGAGGACCACCCCTCCCCCGCAACCTTTGGATCCTAATGACGATCCATCAGTCATGAGGGTTCATCAATCTTCTTCATCACGACGTCTTTCTTATGTTATGTTCCGCGTCGTGCATTCTACTACAAATCCACCAGGGCTTGGCCTTTGATTGTTGTTCTCGACTGGAAACTCACTTGATATTGGCTGATTAATAGGGACCATTTCACTACATCCGCTGTCTTGGCCGCCCGTAAGAGAGTTCCCACTCCCCTGGTCTGACAAGACCTTAATTGGGTGAGCCGGAAGTAATGGGCGAGTTTTTTGGCTGCCACATAAACTGTCAAGGTTGTCTTGTCCCAAGCGAGGTACCTGAGCTCAGTCCCATATAGAACCTTGCTGGTGTAATACATGTGTTTTTGCACGCTTCCCTACTCATGTACTTGGACAGAACTGACAACACTTTGAGAAACTCCAAGTTATAAGATAAGTGTCTCCTCTACCTCAGGTTTGCTGAGCAGGAGCTCTGATGGTAAGTATTTCTTGAGATCTTCAAAGGCAATGTGACATTCCTTGGACCACTCGAACTCATTACTCTTCTCTAATACTAGGAAGAACGGTTGTGACTTTTCCGCCGACTTGGATAGGAATCTCCCTAAGGCTGCCAATCTCCCTGTGACGATTTGAACTTCTTTAACGTTTCGGGGAGGTTCCATCTCCAAAATCGCTTTGACCTTCTCTGGGTTAGGCTCTACCCCTCTATGAGTTAGCATGGATCCCAAGAATTTGCCGCTTTGTACGACGAAGGTGCATTTTTTAGGGTTAAGTCTCATATTGACTTTCTTCTTGATCCCGAACACCTCTATGAGATCAGCCACGTGATCTCCCGCTCTCTGGATCTTGACTATCATATCATCAACGTAGGCCTCCATGTTCCATCCCAAAATGGTCCTGAAGACCTTAACAACCATCCTGGTATTGGTCTCCTTTGAATTCCTTAGTCCAAAGGCCATTATGAGATAACATACCACACCCTCTAAGGTTATAAAGGTAATTTTCTCCGTGGCATTATCATGCATGGAGATATGGTAATATCCGCGGAAGGCATCCATAAATGAGCCCGTCTGTCTGATCTACTAGCTTATCTATGCTCGGCTACGGAAAGGGGTCCATTGGGCAAGCTTTGTTCAGGTCAGTGTAATCCACGCACATCCTCCAAGTTGATGGCTTTGGCGCTAATACCACGTTGGCCAGTTACTCTAGGTACTATACCTCCCTGATATGCTTAATCCCAAGTAGCATGCTTACCTCTCCCTTCACAAACTCTTTCTTGTCACAGGACAAATATCTTGTCTTCTGCTTCACTAGAGTTGCTTTCTGATCTACATTCAGCCAGTGCACAACTATACTTTGGTCGAGGCCCGAGCATATCCTCGGGTCCCCTAGCAAATATTATTTTGAAATCCATCAAAACCTGTATTGTTTTTGCTCGAAGGTCAGTCGGTAGTCCTGCCCCGATCTTGATCCAGCATTATGGCATAGAGGGGTCGACGACGACTTCCTCGAGCTTGGAGATAGGCTGAGCTCTAAAATGTCCCTTCTCATATTTTGACAAGCCTTGCTCAATATCATTGATCCTCACATCATTCCTCCCATGGGCCTTGCAAGCTCTTACGTAACAGCTCCTAGCCATCTTCTGGTCACATCTCAACGTTCTTATTTCGGCCGGTGTGTAAACCTTCATGCATAGATGAGCCAGGGAAATGACTGCCCCCAGGCCCTCAAACAGAGGCCGACCAAGAATTGTGTTGTATGTGGACACTTGGCAATCACACCATCACAAAATCAGCCTCAACCAACCACACACATGGCTCTGATTCGAGATGAACCATGAGCGTTGTCACTCCCTTTTGTTCTATAATATCTCCTGTGGATCCTGATAAGGGGTTTTTGACTGGTTTCAATGCTTCTTTGTGGAGACCAATCTCCAGGTAGGTATCCAGGTAGAGGATATCACCGAGCTTCCGTTGTCTATCAAGGCTCTATGGACAATCGTATCCATAATATCCATCTTCACCACCAGGGCCTCCCTATGTGGGGGGGGGGGGGGGGGCAAGGTGGTAAGTTATCATCGGAAAAAATGATAGAATTCCACTTCTGCTTCTTGTCCACTGGGAAATAGTTGATCTCTCCGATGAACAGTTGACGACTCCACTTTTACTCTTCCCAGCGGTATCTCCTCCCACCAATGTGCCATAGATCTGGTTGACATGGGGGAGCTTCTGCCTGCCAGACTCCTCCATTTCATCACTGTCCTTGAATTGGGCTTCGACCTCCCTTTTGGAGTTTGAGGCCTGCTCATCTTTGCCCTTGATCCATACGCTCTTCTTTAGAGGAGGTGACTTGTTTTAGCTAAATTTTGACGAGCTAAAACTAATTAAAAAAGAGAATTATATGTAGATAGGGTCTCGTACAAGAACAATGAAGAAGATGACAAGTGAGCAAATAAGAGTGAAATTCATTGTATTATTCGAATGTGTCGTTGCTGGTTACAATGGGGGATGTCCTATTTATAGGAAGGGTAGTTAATGCTCTCATGATGGCTTTGTCCATTACTGACGGGTTGGTTGTCCGTTACTGACGGGTTGGCCGTACTTTATGACGATTTCAAATCTGTCATAAATGCTGGTCAATTACACTTAATACCTTCTTTAATAACATTAAAGAGCCTAATAATGTATATAAAACGTTACAATAATTAAAAATGAGATTGGTGGATGCTCCATTAACTCTTGTGGTCAACTCTCTTAAATGCAACATAAATCGTCAAATTCTTGCTCTAACAATTGCCCCCTTTCGAGAAATTGACGCGTACAATGCACGGGTTGGACCTTTAGGTGGCGATTTTTCGAAATTTTGCGAAGAGCTTCATATCTTGGTTCATTGCATCCATTGACTTGCCAACGACTTGTCATGACGTACTGATCAATTCATCTGACGAAATGCTTCCATCTTTCTTTCGAATAACTTCCGATCGAATCCGTCTCCTTGACTAAAACAACGAAGACTGAAAGTTGACATTTTACCTTCTCCCCTCCAAAATTGCCTTGACGACTAGATGACAGAAATTTGCAACATCTTTGATGTCGATGTCGTCACTTCAGTTGGCAAAGGGAACATCGTGCGTCATTGAAGATGTCGAGTTGGGTTGCGTGAACTTGGTCTATATCCTGCAAAAACTTTAAATAATGTTACATTTGTGACTTGTGTTGATGTCGTTTGTATTGTCTCCTTATGTTGGAGCATGTGCTTCTGTTGTGTAATTCTGTAGTTTTGGCTAAAACATTGCGTAGAATCGGTGGCATTTGGACTCATGTTTAACGTACATGAAAACACCACTTCTTCCCCTAAAATTCTGTAAGCCCCATGTCAATTGTGTTTTGATGTGTTGTAAGGCTTCGTTTGATGTAAGCCCCCTGTCAATTGTGTTTTGACGTGTTGTAAGGTTTTGATGTATATTAGGACATCATCTCGTCAATTATCAACGGTTCCTGTGCAAAAAAGAACTCGTTAACGTCGGTTGTTGGCTAGAAGCCAACGGCCCTCCGACGCTTAAGTTAGTGATCATTCATATGTAAATAAAAGTAATAAATTAAGAATACATATATGAAACATAATA